CCTCACAGGTTTCTGGTGACAAATGCCATTATTATCTCTGACTTCATTATCTATTTGAATAAATTCCAGATAGGTACTACCTGTGTGTTCTGGATTACCATCCAACCAAATGAACTTCATTTGTTGTCAGATATACAGAGTATAGATTTGGCACTTGTGTTTTCAGGTTGTATCTGTAGGAGGTGGGATTGGAGATGGTGGTCAGGAACCAGCAACAGGCAACTGGAGAGGAATGCTGAAAACTTCAAAAGCTGAAGAATTGCTTGCTGAAGAAAAATCAAAACCAATCCCAATTATGCCAGCAAGTCCACAGAAAGGCCATGCTGTCAATTTGCTGGATGTGGTAAGTCATTAACAATTTGATTTAAATCTACAGACAAACGGAAGTCGTAGCAGAAAAAATTAAAGTCTCAAAATATTTTAACTTTTAAATATTAAATGTTGCCATTTCAAAATGGCACAGAAGTAATATTTTCCCCTTATCCTTTTAGCCAGTTCCAGTTGCACGAAAACTGTCTGCCCGTGAACAGCGAGATTGTGAGGTTATTGAAAGACTCATCAAATCCTATTTTCTAATTGTCAGAAAGAATATTCAAGACAGGTCAGTATTACTTAATATATAAATACTGCTGGATGAGTTCATGATCTGTTTTAATAAATCTTACATGAAACAATTTAGATTCTAAATCTAAACTGTGGTAACAAGACTTATTAGTCTGTTAACATGGAATGATTAGGGTATTATATATCAGCTGGAAAAAAATTTAATAATAAGAGGATCAAGTAATAGTGATGTGTGTCTATAATTACAGGTATGGAAAGACTTAGCCTCAAGGATAATGATCACAGATATAAGGCCAGCCTGAGATGCCCTCCTACCCCAGTCTCCAAATAAAATAATTAGAAAAGGGTAGCAGTGTGGTTCCATGCTATGGTATAGAATTAGTTTAGTATAGTATTCATGAGGCATTGGATTCAATCCCCAGTGCTCTGAAAAAATTGAAAACAAATATAGTCGACATGGTTACATTTTATTACCTTATTCAAAGTAAAGCACACCCTTTGCCAGGAATAACTTTCTATCTGCCTCACTTCTAATATGTCATATTTATGAATCAACCTACTAAACATTTCATGTTAAAGGGAACACAATAATTAATATTTGGCCTTTTGTCTGGCTTCCTTCTCTTGTGAGTATCCCTCCCCTTTTTAAAAAATATTTTAAGAATTCCTTGTGTTTTGATCATTTCTATTCTCCCTCCCCCAACTCTTTCTAAATCCATCCCCTTCTGCCCTTTCTCACCCAAATTGTTTGTTTTTCCCATCTCCAATCAGGGCCAGTTGGTGCTGCCTGATGTTCTTGGATATATGGCCTTCTACTGGAGTTTGCTTGACGTAACAGGGACTATACTCTAACCCTCTCCCAGCAGCTGAGAATTGCCAATACCTCCTCTGCTGAGGATGGAACTTTGTACCTCACACCCTAATCGTGGTGAATTTTGGTCTAGTTTAGCCTTGCACAACTGCCAAGTTCATATTTGCAACTGCCCTGCTGTGTCCAGAAAAGTTTCCTTAGCATCCACCACCTCTTCCACAATGAACCTCTATCCTTGGGAGGAGATAGATATAGGTGCTCCATTTAGGGCTGAACATTATGCAATGTCTTATTCTTTGCATATTGACCACTTGTGGGTCGGTCTCTGTGTTAACCACCATCTACAACATTTCTCTGGTGACAGCTAAGAGATGTCTTAATCTATGGGTATAACGTTAGGTCATTAGGAACTGGTTTAATACTATATCCATTTAGTATAATGGTGGTAGGTTCTCTTCTAAGGTCTTTGACCTGTGTAGCCATAGGCTCTTAGGCGGGTAATGGTGCCAGATATGGGATTTGTCTACTTATCAGTGTGTTTTAAAGCTTGTTCATACTGTATGGTTCAGCACTTCCTTTTTTCCAGTTACTATAATACTGGATCATTATTATTATATGCTATACCATGCTTTGTATATCTACTCATCACATTATGAATACTTGATTTTCAGTTTTGACTGTTAAGATGTATGGCCACTGTTGTCTTTATAAGATAAGTGAGATGAATGAAGCTAATACATAAAGGATTGTGGCTTTGCTTAATATTATTTGAAGAGCATCTCTTACTAAATATATTTTCAGTGTTATTATTTTACAAAGCCATACTCAAGTCTAAAGTAGAGCAGTAGTTGTCAACCCTAATGCTGTGACCCTTTATTAATACAGTTCCTTGTGTTGTGGTGACTCCCTATCATTAAATTATTTTCCTTGCTACTTCTAACTGTAATTTTGCTACTGTTAGGAATCAGAATGTAAATGTCTGATATGCAGGGTGTCTGACACTTGACCCCACAGAAAGGGTCATTTGACATTCCCCCAGGTGGTTGTGACCCACATGTTGAGAATGACTGATCTACATTTTTGAAAATAGAATTATTACAAAGACTTCATGATTTTACTTTGCTTTGCAGCGTCCCAAAGGCAGTAATGCATTTTTTGGTTAATCATGTGAAAGATACTCTTCAGAGTGAATTAGTAGGACAGCTGTATAAGTCTTCCTTACTAGATGACCTTCTGACTGAATCTGAGGACATGGCACAGCGCAGAAAAGAGGCAGCTGACATGCTAAAGGTGACTGTTGTTTCCCATTTTCCTCCTGGAATATACATATACCAAATTCTAAAACTGCATTTACAAAATTCAGATTAATGTTGTAACTGGACTGTCTATATCTTTTGATGCAGGCATTACAAGGAGCCAGTCAAATTATTGCTGAAATCCGAGAGACTCATCTTTGGTGAACAGAACTGTCGAACACCTAGACTTTTGACTTGAACTTGCTAGCTACTGCCTACCTGAGTAGACGTTTATTTATGAACTCCTGTGTACTGCAGTGTATGAATTTGCTCTTGTGAAGACTGGCTAGAAGCTGAAAAGTATACTCTGCATTACAAAAATCACACACTTAATTCACATTTTTAAAGTTTCCCATGATACATGTATATCAAGTCTGTTTCAGTCACGCTTACAAGAACAGTTGATGTTCTAGTTGTACAAAGCAGTTTGTGTGTGGATATGATGACCTGTGTAACTTTTTGTAGTCTTAAAGCTGCAGCCGTAGTCCTCAGAAAGGGAGCTCCAGGACATTTCATGACTGTAATGCATGCACTATTTATATAGACTCATCTGGCTGTAAAAGATGGAGCTTGGCAAATTCCTCACATAATCAATGTATCCACCTATCCTTCATTTTTATAGTCTTCAAAAACAAAACTCTATAATCTTTGCTGTTTTGAGAAATGTGTAAGATCTGAAAGACTATCATAAAGATGTAGGAATATACTCTGTAGTTATGGTTTATCCACTTCTGAGTCTATACTGCCCTGAAATACAACTTTGATTCATAATTAATTAGCCTGAAGACATGAATTGACTCCCTGCATTAAAAACTATTGAGAATTTACTTGGTAACAATGGCCAGTCCATTTTAATTTCTGAAAGATGACCTAAATTTCCCTTAGTTTACAGAGTAATAGTAATTCAGATACACCCTTAAAGTGGGCCAGTTGCATCAGGCTCCCAGACTCACACTGAGGTAGGACCTACAATTCCACTCTCTGTATACATCGGTAATGGCTACTTTAGTTCCATCCAATGACATGCATTAGAATAATGGTATGAAAACTCTGGTAGAATTTTGTTACTTAAAGAAAAATACTTGGACATACACATACACCTAAAGGCTTATAGACTATTAAACTGTATTTGGAGATTGAGGGTTGTGTTTACAACCTATTATGTGAAAATTGCCTGGGAAATTCATGGTATAAACCAAGCATTAAATTTTCAGACCTAAGTAAAAATCTTTGTATCTGGTTCTGTATCTAACCAAATAGTATATTAGTGTTACAAATACTAAAATTTCTTTTCAGGTTATAGCCAGGCATAATTTCTGAAATATTAGCAAGGAAAACAAGAACATGTTTAGTTTATGATACCCACTTAGTAATTTCAAACACAAAAGGGTCTACTTCAATGTGAGTGCACACTGCCTAAATATGTTAGCACATAAAAAAGCACCCTGCCATCCAACTATTAGGTGTCCATGATTTGTTTTTTAAGAGGTGACTACCACTGTAGCCTTTTGAATTTATAAGGAGGAAAAATGAACCTTTGTCCAACATTTCAAATAGGTTTTAAATGGAAGATGTTCACTTTAAAAACATACTACAATAGTGTACTTATTAGCACTACACACTTTGTACAAAGAAAACAAAAGCTTCCTTTGTTTGCTTTTACACCAAGTTGTGTTCTGAAACAGGAGATAATCTCTGGCATATTTATAAGACCACTGTATGTTCTTTCTGTGTAAATAAAGCTGCTGGTATGAAATGACATTAAAGTTTGCCAGTAAATGAATGTTTCCAGACTTGCCTCAGAAAAAGGTTTAAATAACTGCATCTTTTAAACATCTGAATCTATTTCATAGCCTAATAGTTCAACCTGTAAACAGGGGAGTTGGTGGCACATGCCGTTAATCTCAGCACTCGGGAGGCAAGCGGATCTCTCTGAGTTCAAGGCCAGCCTGGTCTCCAGATCGAGTGCCAGGATAGGCTCCAAAGCTACACAGAGAGAAACTTTGTCTCAAAAAACCAAATAAATAAATAAATAAATAAATGATAATAATGATTCAACCTGTATTACACCAAGTTTTATGGTATTTTTCCTATTACATTGTATCTCCAGACTAAAGATATAGTAGCTTGTTTCAAGTAACCCAGGGGTGAATGCTCAGAGGGAACACTACACTTTGCTGCAAGACTTCCAGAAGCTGCACAACACTTTATGCTTCCCTTGCCCCTGTGCACAATCGAGTTCGAGGCCAGCCTGGTCTATACAGTGAGTTCCAGGACAACCTCCAAAGCAATACAAAGAAACACTGTCTTGAAAAAAAAAAAAAACCAACAACAAAAAAAGAATTGTTTATTTCTTAGCATCAGTCAAATATTTAAGTTTCCAACAGATTTCTTACATCTAAACAGACGTTAGAAGCTTAGCTGGGAGCTGTGTAACACTACTGAAATCAGCAAGTGCTCTTCACCTTACATAGTGTGTAATTTCATCCTTCACCTCCACTGTACCTCTTCATCAGTCCAGGAAGCAAGATGGGCAGATCTCTCTTAAGAATAAACCATAGTTAAATAACTTTATTTAAAAATACATAAAAGTATTTACATTGTAAGGCCTTGTGGATATTCCACTCTTTTTTTGAAGACCCTCCATGTTTTGAAGACGAATGATGGATAAATCTGAACAAAATCTTTCACAACTGCAGCCATTTTATAATATAGAAATTCTTTTTTCCTATTTTAAGTAAGGAGAGTCCATTCTTCAGAATATGTTGTCCAATTACTAAAACACTCTCAGGATTTGTTACCTGTCTGTGATTTATACTGACTCCGCCTTCTGTTATCATCCGATACCTGCAAGTAGAAAGATTTAATAACTAGAAGTATCCAATCACCAGATGCAACCTAATACTTTTTAAGGGAAGTTGTCAGTACATCCCCTGGCTGACCTGAACTCACACTGCAGCTCAGGTGGGTCTTTATCCTGTGATCGTCCTACCATTAACCTCCCAAGCATCTGAGCTTACAGGCTTGCACCACAGGCTCAGGTAGCCCAGCTTTTTGACACATTCACCTCATAATGGTTTTTAATGGAGATTCAATTTCAGAATTCCTGTATTTTTTGTGTAGGGAAAAAACAAAAAGAACAATTTTGCTTTTAAAGTATGTTATCCCCGTAAGATACAGGTCACAAATACCCCTACTTAAATCTTTAGGAAAGTTGATAGGAAACTGGAACATATTAAGACTGAATAATACTGTTTAAAATAAAAAAATTCTTTCTTAATCAGCTGATTTCACAAATGGAGAAATCAATAGCTGGTTTAATAAACGTATGATAGCAAAGGTGAGTTTTACTCAACGTCACATCCAATTCATTCAATCAAGTACCTACTATGTGCTAAACATAAGTAGCATTAAAGAGATAGAGACAATACACAATCTTCAGCACTGTTGTGCTATGGGGGGATTAGGTGTTTCTCTGGGGGCACACTGGGTAGATGAGGGCTGGGAGCTTTTTTGACAGGTAAGATTATTAAGACACTGAATGACAGTAATTTTGACAAGAAACAAAACAGAGCCTTGAAAGTCTATGAATAAAGTAAACACTGGCTTTCTTTGATCTGCATGTGTTACTAAAGTTAAGCAACTCGAACACAGCTTTATAAAATCAAGCCAACAACAAAAATGTTTCTATGTAGAAACATTCTTCTAGGAAGACTGCTTACATGCTAAATGTGCAGGCCAACCCTACTTGGTGTATGAAAAATGCAGAACACTGCTGACTGGCCAAGCAGCAGACTGACCAGACCCAAAGTTCACAAGAAAATAAATGAACCCACACATGCTGCAGGGGAGAATTGGACTCCAGCCTTAAGTTTAGTGCATTTTAAGTAAGATATATTAGGGAATAAATAAATAAATAAGGTAGAGTGGCAGGTCATGAACAAAGAGACATGGTACTTTGTCAGCACCCGGAAATTTAGAGCTCACTGGAGAGGCAGACATTCCAAAACAACTTAAAGAAAGCAACTAACAAATGTCATTCATGTAATAACCATGGGCAAATGGCAGGGACTTATTGCAAAGTCCCATAGATAAGGCACCAAAGGTTCCTGATTATTGCTTTTCCTTGTACATGTAGCTGTTCAATTATAAATGGACATTCCACATGCCAAATTGCTTTTTGTAGAGCAAAAGTATTATTCCCTAATATGATGGAGCTGGGGAATTGCAATATGCAGAAAAATGTAATTCCCAAGGAGAATATTCCACAATTTATAAGCTTTATAAAGTTTTGTTTCTATGCTCATTTTAGTAATTAATTTTAAAATAGATCCTGTCCTCAAGTGAGGCTGAATAAGAGATAGGTCCTCTGTGACCAAATCCCTGAGCTGACTGGTCCCAGTGAAATACTTCAGGAAGGATCACTGTCCTCTACATTTTCAACTGTATGAACCTAACTTCTGCAGGAGATGAGTTACATGAAAGCACTGTCCGGAAAACACTCTGGAAACATGCTGTCAAGTGCAACATTTCATAGTGAATTAAGAATCAAAGTTAAATCTTACCCTCGGGGACCATCTGGAATGGCATTTGCTTTCCGGCATGTATCTATAACACTTGTTCCAGGGTCGAGAACTAATTCAGAAAATGAAGCTTCTTTAAACAATTCTTTTAACTCTTGGTCAGACATGACCTCCAGTGCCTCTATGCTGCTATGGTAAAGTGCTTGTGTACACCTGAAAAACATGAAGCCACATCAGGGACTGCTTCCTCCCACCACTGACCAGTTATGGGATGCCCACTGTGTTCCATAGTACAGTTTTTCATTCAACAGCAGCATTGGTTTTGTATAATCCACCAAAGATTTATCCACAAAGACAATTTAAAAATATTTTAAATACAGTCCAGGTTAGTCATGAGAAACTAAGTTTAATTAACCTATCTCAGCATTCCCTTGATACCTGTAGTTCTTTGTTGAGGGGCGGGGCCTCATGAGAGTTCCCCCTTCTGTATTAGCACACCTATCAGCATTACACTTGTTTAGGCAGCTTTCCTGTTGTACTGTGAGTGAAGCTTCCCTATCATTTCCAGGAGACACAATCTCACAGCCAGTTTCCAGTCCTCCGGCTCTGATAGAATCTTTCTTCCCTTCCTTCCAAGATGTTCGCTGAGCCTTCTGCGGAGTCGTGTTGTGGACTAGGAACATTATTTTAAAGCCAACCAACCTTTTAGCAGCATCCAGACCTTCTTGTCCATGAACAAGCTTTGTCACTTCTGCAGCAAGTCGTTTCTGAGCACCCCGCTTTTCGGGCTCTTTGACATGCAGCTGCATAATGTGATCAATCTCGGGAAGGGGGAGAAAAGTGAAGAGCTTCAGGTACCTGCAGGACAAAAGATGACGCATTGTATGTGCAGCATCTACATGTGCAGCTTTAAATTCATTTTCAAATTTATGAATGAAAAAAGGTAGAATGTATTTAAACTATATACTTAAACACAGCCCTAATGGACAGGATTTTCCAATACTTGTTTTCCACTTTCCTTAAGTAACGAAATGGTACAGCCCCATCTCCTTCCCTTTTTAATGCCAAGAGATAATTTGTGTGCCTCCTTCCTAAGCATACTTTAACATATTTATTTGTTTCCTTAAAAAGCATTGCATAAATTAAAATTTGACATGAGCAGTATTCTGTATGTTAATTTTTGCAAATGCTATGTAGAAAAGAACACGTCACAAAGTTTAATGAACCATTATAAAGCAAACACCTATGACATCATCCTCTTAAGAAATACAAGACTAAGAATAAAATCATACTACTTTGTTCTACTTTGACACACCAGCATGTTCAGATTTATGTCACAAGCACAGCTTTCCAAGCTATTACTACTCCATGATTTACTCTACTGTGGACATTGTATGTCTACTTTTGAACATACTCATTCCATGAATACCTTCATTTTTTCTTGGTACACACGAGGGAATTTCTGTTAAGCATGTACCCAGTAGAGATTATGTCAGATCATACCTTATGTACAACTATTTCAAAGATCTCTAAGTTTATTTCATCACTCTGGAGTAGTTCATATTGTCATTGGTGGGTACAACAGGAGACACGGACCAACACATCTGACTGAGAAGTTTTCTTCTCCCTTTGACATTTGCACTCAGGGAAAGCTGGATCCCTGATTATACCATAGAAAACTTGAGGGGACCAACCAGAGTGAAACAAAATTAGTGAGTTTCTTAAGATTAAAGTACAGCACACAATTTCAATTCATGACTAGGTATCTTCACAACAGCTACCTACAGGGATCTGTGGCTAAGTTACCTGGCTTAAAAGATGTAATTTACTACAATATTTAAATAATTAAAGCTTTAGGAAAAACAAGGGTGCAAGCCGGTCGTTAGTGGCTCACGCCTTTAATCCCAGCACTCAGGAGGCAGAGGCAGTCCGATCTCTGTGAGTTCGAGGCCAGCCTGGTCTCCAGAGCGAGTGCCAGGATGGGCTCCAAAGTTACACAGAGAAGAAACCCTGTCTCAGGGAAAAAAAAAAAAAAAATGGGTGCTGGCTTTTTAAAGAATATCTTTTTAAGTGAACTGTATGTGGTACCCTGTTTAGATTTAGTGATGAGAGGAGGGTCTCACAATGTTGCCTAAGACAACCTGGAACCCTGAGACTCCCAGCCTAGTGTCTCACAGCTGGAATCACAGGCACACTCCTAGGCTCCAGCTGAGGAAAACCTAAAGGTGTTTTATGATGTACAAAACAAACTTGAAGAGTCCTATCAGTGAGATGAGACAAAGAGAGATGTTTGAAATTAGGATAAAAGGAATGAATAACCTAGAATATGCAAGTAATACAATCCTATGTTCTTGCTAGACACTGAAACAATTTTGGTTTTAAATTTTCTAGCCAGTCCCATTGTAGTTTCTACTTTAACCAGCAAGCAGTACCTAGGACTGAAGTACAGTTACATGCTCCTCTAGCATACACAAGGAAGGGTGTGGGATCAACCCTCAGCACTGCCAGGCATGGTAAGTGTCTGGAGGCTTACCACCGTACCACCAGGCTGAGGTGGAAGACTCGAGTCAGAGGCTGTCCTGGGCAGCTCACAACATCTGCATTTTTTCTTCCAGGACCGGGATGTATACAGCTCAGTGGTTAAGCACCTGCCTAATAGCTGTTCAACCCTGGGTTCAACTCTAGTAGAATAAAACTAAACAAAATTATTACAGTTAAATGGCAATACCTGCCAGGCAGTGGTGGCACACACCTTTAATCCCAGCCCTTGGGAGGCAGAGGCAGGCGGATCTCTGCGAGTACAAGGCCAGCCTGGTCTACAAGAGCTAGTTCCAGGACAGCCTCCAAAGCCACAGAGAAACCCTGTCTCGAAAAGCCAAAATAAATAAATAAATAAATAATAAAATGGCAATATCCTGTGAAACAATGATTTTACGCTTAAGCAGAATCAACATTTAAAAATCTACAAAGACTAAAGATCCAGTAGCTAGAACTGAATCCTAACTGTAAATTAATTTTTCTCAGCTATTAAAAGCTTACCTTTCTACAGAATCATCTTGCTGTCTGACAAAATACTGATAAAGTTCAAACGGTGATGTTTTCTCTCTGTTTAGCCAAACAGCGTTGCCAGCAGACTTTCCCAGCTTTGCTCCAGTTGTACTTGTAATTAGAGGTACAGTGATTCCGAATACATCTTCTCCAGTCAACCTACACACACATCCATGGTATTCTGTAAGCACAATTGGTTTCACCAAGCACGATTCAGATTTGAGTATGGTCACTTACTATGTTTTTTTTAAACCCTTCTCAATCTAGACTGCTAGTCCTTAGGACCTACAATACCACTCACTTTACATCTATTTACATTCGTCATGCTCAACTGCAATTGCTCGAATAATACTTCTGAGCAAGCGATCAGGAAGTGACTTAGAAAGATGGGGGGACGACGGGGAAGGGGGACTGGATGCAGGAAGGCACATTTAGGAGGTGCTTTTCAAAGAGTTTTTTTTTGTTTGTTTATGATTTTGTCGTGTAGCACACGAGCCAGCCCCACACTCGGTGTTCCTCAAGAAAATGCTGTGAAAATCTTCTGGAGAGCGAAGGGCTAAATTAATTGGACTACTAAACAGAAGTCCAATTGTTTTCAGGTATAAATAAGAAAAGCAATTTCCCAAGTTAGAAACTGAGGGCGGCGACTCAGACACACTACAAATCTTTAAGTGGTGTGCTTCCAGCAGTTCTACAACCCGCCCATAACCCAGGCCTTCTAACTGGCAGGCGCCGTACCTACTAATGGGTGAAGTAGGTATCCGTCCCTGGATTTCTGTGGCATCTAATAACCCAAGCTTACTTGTGGATGAACTCGTATCCAGACATGATGTTGCCCAGCTGATCCGATCCGCCCAGCTGCACCCGGCATCCATAGCGCTGGAAGAGGTAGTAGAAGTCGTAGGCCTGGAGCACTTGGTAAAAGAACTCCGCCAGGCTCATGCCCTCGGGGCTCTTGAGGCGACTCTGCACGCTCAGCCGGCTCAGCAGAGTGCCCATGCGGAAGTGGCCGCCCACTGAGGCCAGGAAGTCCACCAGGTGCTGCTCCCGGAACCAGGCGGCGTTGTCGAGCACGGTAAAGGTGCCCCAGGGCCGCCCGTCCGCGAAGAGCCGCGCGTGGTT